ATCATTATAATAGACACGGGTTAGAGGTAAGTGTAGGGGAGATAGAAGGTATCTTGAGTTTCATGAGGGAATCTTTTTTTCTACCATAATTCGTTTTTTTGCAGACTTAAGGCTTTGACTCAAATAAGAACATCAGAACATATATTAAAGCACTTTATAAGTACAAAATGCTAAATAATATTGGAGTTCAACTATAAATTACATCCACCCATCTTTTTATTATATAAAACTAACTGAATAGCATTTAAATGTGCACAGTAAGGTAAAATAATTACATTTTATTTTTTGTTTTACTGTTATTATTATTATTTTTGGCTCTGCCATAGAGATTATGGAATCTTAGTTCTCCAACCAAGGACTGAACCACACCCTTGGCAGTGAAAGCATGGAGGCCTGGATGACCAGGGAAATCCCCTAAATTTTATAATAATTAGCCACCCTTGTAAGAAAGACATGGATTTTAAGGACAGGGTGGGATAACCCTGACTGAGATAACTACTTAACAGTTTACAACTTTCTCCAATTCTAAGTAGGATTCACAGGCTAAAAGACAATGCGTCATTCATTTATTTTTCTGGTATTATTGTGTTCTTTAAAAACATGAGGGTTGTTGGCAGAGAAACTGTAATAACTATAATGGAATATTACCCCTTTGGGCAAAAGTCTGGTATTGCTATTCATTTTACTACACTTATACATTTACATGATTGATTGTCTCTTTACTCAGAAAACTCACAGAGTTCTCACATAATAATTCTGAAAAGATTCAAATCTGAGATAAAAGCAAATACATGGGTTTACAGATTAGCCCCAAGAAAATAAGTACCAGAAACATGACGAGTCATAATGACAAGCTCTTACAAGGCACCAGATACTTCGTAAAGTAAACACTTTACATCATCATTTCATTTAATCTTATCCTCCTATGAACCAGGTATTATCCTCACCTTATAAAGAAGGAAACAAAAGCTTTAATTCCAGCCTGCCCTCAAAACCCTTAACCACTGTTACTACCACCTTTCACAGAATCCATGATGTGCCATTATTGTATGTACTACTAAAAACAACAAACTCGCTGACAGTTATGCCACTGACTGAAGTAAGAGCAATCCAGATGATAATCTGTGAAGAAAAGGGGATGGAGTGTGGTGTCTTAGAATCAGTGAAACAGAAACTCATTTTATACTCACTGCCTTCAGTACAGGATCTTTCTGAATAAAGTAATATTACGTACAAGCAGAATGAAAAAATGGATACCACTTAGTTCTTGGAGACTCTAGAAAACAGCTCCCTTAGGCTACGCTATTTTTTTTTTTAAGGCTTAAGCATACTCAGAATGTATTTTCAGATTAAATCATTTTATATCCTCCCAGTTGTCACCTCATTGGAATGCTGATAACCATGAGCTGCTATTAACTCTATTTTTTCCTTAAATTAATATATTTTATTGAAGTATAGTTGACTTACAGTGTTTCAGGTACACAGCAAGGTGATTCAGTTCTTTATATATATATAAATACACACACACATATATTATTTTTCAGGTTATTTTCCATTATAGACTATTACAAGATATTGACTATAGTTCCCTGTGCTATACAGTAAACCTTTGTTGCTTGTTGCATATCTATTTTTTTAAAATTAGAAACCTAGCATTCTATTCATACTAAGACAAACAAGTAGAATCAAAATGTCATAAGCTTTTCAGTTAGGCCAAAGTTTATCAGTTTTCTAGGGACTTCCCTGATGGCCCAGAGGTTAAAGAATCTGCCCTGCAATGTGGGGCACTTGGGTTAGACCCCTAGTCAGGAGACTAAGATCCCACATCCCGAGGAGCAACTGAGCCCATTCAGGCGCCTCAACTACTGAGCCCTCATCCGGCAAGTAAGATCCGAGGCAGACAAATAGATAAGTATGTTTTTTTTTTTTTTTACAAAGTCTGTTAAGTTTTCTCTAAGGAGAGAGAGGTTGGTGGCCTTAATGAAGATGACACCCAAATTTCTTTGGCGTGAATTCTGTGGATGATCACTTTGAAAGATTGTTTAATAACCATAAATTCCTCCTACCTTGTATGTATGCTTCTTTGCAATGTGACTATGTCACTCTTCTCATGCAGAGACGGAATCTATTTTCCTACCCTTGAATCCAGATTGGTCTTGTGATTTGCTTTGGCAAATATTGGGATGTGGAAGTGATGTGATTTCTGAGGCTAGGCTTCATGAGGCAATGCCGCTTTTGCTCTGTGCCTGGCCTTACTGGAGAATGAGAGGTCACATGAGGGAGACCTAAGTCACTCTAGCTGACAGCACCACTAAGTATGAAGCCATCTAGAACCCTTCAGTTCAGCTGACCTACTGGCTCAGTAAAGCGGTATAAATGAAAGAAAGTGAAGTCACTCAGTCGTGTCTGACTCTTTGCGACCCCATGGACAGTACCCTGCACCAGGCTCCTCTGTCCATGGGATTTTCTAGGCAAGAGTACTGGAGTGGGCTGCCATTTCCTTCTCCAGGGAATCTTCCGGACCCAGGGATTGAACTCAGGTCTCCCGCATTGTAGACAGACACGTTACCGTCTGAGCCACCAGGGCACCAGGGAAGGTATAAATGAGGCCAAAGGAAATCAACAGGGAAACTGCTCAACAGACACACAGAATCATGAGAAATCATTATTTTAAGCCGTTAAGTGTAGGGGGTGCTTACACAGCCACAGATAATCAAGCAGTTAAAGAGATAATGAGATCAGAAGAAGTCAACTTGAAATGTTACTCTTTATATTTTCATGGTGGTGAGTACAAATTATGTAAGACTGACAAAAAATTCTTGAGTACAAAGTTTAGAAAGGGGTCTTCCAGTAATTTCTAAGGCACCAAATGACTGAATAATGAAGTACTATAAAGTTAATAAGAGAAGTAAAGAATCCACCTTTTAGGTAAGGCTGTAAAAGTAAATAGGCCAGATCTTTAAACTCCTTAATGACAGAAAAGCCCAGGTGTTTGCGGAGGCCATCAGTATAGACATTCAATCCTCCAAACCTTGAATAAATTAATTAAACCAGATCTCTAGAATACTCAACAGACTCAATACAGAGAACACTTGAAAAATTAGGCTGATAAAAGACACTTGTGAAAACTCCAAGTGTGGTGCCTATTAAAAAGTTTTATTATTCACAGTTAAACGAACTAAAAACTTCTAATTAGTCGTTTGTGAGTGATCAGGAAAATAAGTCGAAACTAGCCTCTCCCCATTCAAATGAAAAGGTATCTCTTCTGTTAATGGATAAAAACGAAAAAAAAAAAAAAATTGGTTAGACAACGATCGATTTTAAGCGAGATGAAAGCTATCATTTTAGAAAATCAATTTCAAGAATAAATAATGCGTTAGTATGGAGTAGTTCCTTTTATTGCAACAGTGTTGTTTAAAAACCACAAATGATATTGAGGTGTACCCAGCGGCCTGTGAGTGCCAGAGAACAGAGGTAAAAAAGTAAGAGTGACAGAGAGACCACAAACAAATGACAGAAAGAAGTAAAAAGGAAGTGTACCCTGGACCAAAGACTTGAGGGCTTTCCTCTAAGACTTGAAAGGAAGCTTTGTCATAAAGACAATTCCTTGTATTTCTGCCAATTTAAAAACAATCTTCATTCCTTTGCAAAACTTAGTGCCTTTCCCGCCCCCCCGCTTTTACGGCGTGTCTTACAGACTGTACTCAAGATAGACTCAGGTCAGGAGAAAGAATCGCTAGGAACCCAGGGCGGGGAAAGATAATCGTCAAACGCGGAATAAAGCCACGTCGCACGCCGGCCGCAGCAACCGCTGGGGGAGCCCACCCTTTTCAGCTATGTCTCCCAAAAGGGACCGAATATTCCGTTCTCCTTAGCGCAATCCCTGTCGCTCGCCCTGGGGCTGCAGCAGAGCTGACCTCCACTCACCGTTTGAAGCACTGTCGCCAGCAGCAGTCGCAGCCCAAACGCCGCGCCAAGCCATCCATACGGCCGGGCCGCCATCACTGCCACCTTCCGTAGGTCTCCGGCTGCCCAGAAGACCCCTCTACTAGGGGCGTCTACTCCAGAGCCTGATCCAAAACAGGCTGCTAGAGGCTGCTGCCATCAAGTCTCTTATTCTGAGGAGACGGGCATTAACTACGGGCATATGTAAGCTTAAAGGTGATCAAAAACTTTACACTTGATGTAAATATGAAGTCACTGGGTCCTTTCGATAATTCACATCAGGCATCTCCCTAAACTCCTCAAATCTGTGCTTCCCGGGCTCCTTCCTTTCATTCACGACATTTCCTTAAGCAGTCAAGAAGCCCCGCCTTCGCCAGTTTCGGCCTGCCTCCTTCTCCAAGTTTACCCAATCGAATGCCGATTTGGTTGATACCTACGGCAAAGGAAACCAACCGTGACACGCACCAAGAGCGAAGCGCTGGAGTTCTTCGGTCCAATAAGCTCAAGCGAAAGGGAGTAGAGGGCGGAGCCTCTGGTTGTCGAGCAGCGTACGTGGAGGCGTGCGCGTGGAGGCGGAGAGGGATGGGTAGGGGGCGGGGCCGAGGGCGGCGCAGCCGCAGCCGCAGAGCTGGCGGAGAAGCGCGCGGCCGAGAGCAAAGGAGGGAGGGAAGGAAGGAAGAGAAGGAGGAGGATAGGCAGGCGGGCGCGGGGGTCGGGGACTGAGGCAGTAGAAGGAGGCGAGAGCCCGGCAGCTGCTTCGCGCTGTGTTTGCTGCACAGGCTTTTGGAGGGAGTCGGCCGTGGAGTCGGTCGAGGAGAAGCGGGCACCGGCGGCGTTGCTGCTGGCGCCTGGGGGCGGGGGACTGGGGAGGCGAGAAAGGGGGGTCGCTGCGGTGGTTCTCTCGCTGTCGCGCTCTTCTTGCCTTTCTCCCGGCTCCGTGGGCTCCTCCCGGCGTCTCCCTCGCCCCCGGGGCCCCGATCCCCGCCCCCCGCGGTATGTCTTGATCCCGAGCAGCGGGTTACATGGGGCTCCTCAGGATTATGATGCCGCCCAAGTTGCAGCTGCTGGCGGTGGTGGCCTTCGCGGTGGCGATGCTTTTCTTGGAGAACCAGATACAGAAACTGGAGGAGTCCCGGTCGAAGCTAGGTGAGGAGCCGGGTCACTCCGGGCTGAGTGGTGTGTGGAAGGGGCCAGGCTGGGGAGGCACTGCAAGCCGAGCAAGTGGGCGTTTATCTAACCTGATATCTGGCTTGGAGGCTGAAAGAGAACATAAACCCCTGGAATGGGGTGAATTAAGCTTGGGTGGTATGCTGGGTTCATAAGGTCAAGGGGCAGAGGTTGCAAGGTTGGACTTCCTTGAGCCAAAGGGTTACCCTGAAGTAGGCATTCCACGCGGCGAAAGCAAGAGAAGATCGAATTCGTTGGGGAGCCGGTACTGACTGTTGGAGGAGACCGAAACGGTCAGGCTTGCCTGTTCTCTTAGAAGTCATATTGAAAGCTCCAGCAGTGTCAGGCAAGGGGTATTGTAATTTGAGATGTGAGCACCTCGATACTGAATCTTTTGGGAATGGGGAGGTTCGCGAAGATGCGCTGATATGGAGGGGAGATACTGGAGTGATGGTGTGTAAAAGAATTACATTGTAGTGAGTTGCACTCGAGCTGGGGGCAGCAAGGGACCGCACAACTGACGAGAGATATAGACTGTCCAGGTAGGACAGGAAAGCAAATAAAAAGCTCCCGTGAGGTTCTGAAACGAGGTATCCAGGCATTTAAATTATTTTTTAGTGGCGCTAAACTGGTATTTTGAGCTTAAGAACGGAGTTGTGTGTGTATGTTGCTTCGCGGCAGTGTTGGTGTAGTGAATTTAGAAGGGGAGGAAACGTTGAGGGGGAATTGCTATAATGAGATTTAAAGTTAAAGAAAGGCAAAGTGCAGAAAGTTTGCCATATGGTTAAGTACCTTAAAGAGTTAACAGTTGTTACTTTAATTGGGGGAGAGATCTGAAGTACAGAAAGTTGGAGTGTGATGTTGTGAAAGACCAGACGAATGCACAGATATGTACTTTCAGAGCAGTAAGGAACTGTGGGATTTGGGAAGAGTTTGAATGGGGAGGGAGTGTTAAAAGAATGTCAGCAATACATTTTGATTTTTAAATGTACATGGCACTTAAAAATCAACCCAAGAGGCTGTAATTTGAATGTGGAAAATAATGTTTAGTAAGTATATTTTATACACTTTCACCGCCGCATCATTTAAAATAAGTTTCGAAATGCAAACAAATAGGAGCGTTATAATTTATACTCAGAAGTAACGTATGCTGCTGTCATGATTAATATTTTGGAAAAATTATCAGAAAATAATTGTAATATTACAAATAATAATTAGTCTTTGTAGTTTTGATACTTTGAAAAAAGCACTGGAGACTATTTTAAAGTGCAGTTTATCAAAGAATATCAAATAAAACAAGTGCAAATAAATTTGAAGATAGGGATAATTCCACTCTTCAACTCTAAGGTAAAACTTACCCTGTGTAATTTTGAACAGATACCAGATTTATTTATTATGATTTTATTAATGTGTGTAGTATACGATGGAAAAATATTTACTTTAAATTATGAAGGTTGGCCAATATACTCTTTTTGTTTGTACCCATTTAGCAGCATTCATGGTCATATTCTAGTCTGGTTAATGATCCAGCTTTACAGAAAAAAAGACTCCTCTTCAAGAAAGTTGAAAGTTATATTAAATTAAACTTTATATTTATTCTTTGTTGTATTGCTCTTTGAATTTCTTATACATATTATGGTGGGTTGGGATAACTTCAAATTTTAATTTTCCTTCCTTGTCTTAACATTTTTTACCATAATAATTTTAATTGTTTTCTATAGGCACAACCTGAATGATTTTAAAAAGATTTATTTGAGGATGTAGGAAGCCACAGGTAGTGGCTAGGTAGATAACATTCTTTAAGACTTTTTACAAGAAAGAAACTCTTACATTTTGTTAGAAATAGTGAATATGGAATAAATGAAATAATTCTTGAAAAGGAGACTCATACAAAAAGCTAGAAGGAGCTAATAATAGAGATGTGGAATTGAATGAGTGATAGTCGTTCAGTTGTATTTGACTCTTTGAGACCTGCCACTCTGTAAGCCTGCCACACTGTGTCCATGGAATGCTCCAGGCAAGAATACTGGAGTGGTTGCCATCTTCTTTTCCAGATGTAAAATTATGGCAAATAAAATGCATAGTTTCACATCAGCAGTCTTTTGACTTAAAAAAAGTTGTCTGGAACAGGCTGTATTAATGCAGATGTAAGTAATCTTCCTTAGGAAAGGAACACAGGAGGAGGTGTATTTTGACAATCAGACTCTGTATTAGACCATTTCATATTTGCTATTCTTATTAGATCTTCCGAGAACACCATAGAAAGCCATTTTTACAGGTGCGGGAACAAGTTCAAAAGTTATATAACTTGACCACATACCTAGTAAGTGGCAAAGTCATTCTTGGAACCCAGGTGTGTCTGATTTCGAATCATGTTCCCCTTTAATTGTACCAGGCTGCTTGGGACTTTATATTGACATTACACTAAGATGTAGTGGTTTGAATAGAATTTTTAAACTAGCACCAATGTTTAATTGCATTTATTGTCAAGTATGAATATCATTCTTAGAAAATTCAATTTCTGACACAAAGGAATTAGTTTAGTGTAATGTCTGTTGCTTGTTTATACCCATGTAATGAACATAATTATATTATCTAATGAAAGGACTGAAATAGCTTACTTTTGCTACAGGGGGGAAAAAATTGTCGTTTTCTGTAAGTGTAAAATCACAAACAATAAAAGCATTTTTATTTTGCCATCAGAAAAGCTTAAACACACAGTTTTCACTTTTCAGAAACTTTTGTGGTGTCATCTGTCACACAGAATTTTGACTTAAAGTGTTGTCATATTTATTAAATCTTGCATTTATGGCTTAAAAAAAAGAAAAACTTAAACATCATTAAGTATGTCAACAGGAATTCCTAAAAACCAGTGTCACATAACAGAGTTATTTTTTTTCCAGTGAATATTGAATGACAGTATACGTAATACTGGCTTTGCATCTTGCTTTTTTTATTTAAAGTCAGAGAACATCTTTCCAAGTCAAAAAATATATATTTGATTTACTCATTTTAATAGCTGTATAACATTCCACAGTATGCATGAGTCATAAATTCTTAAGCCATTATGCCAATAGTGAACATTCAGTTTATCCCCCTTCACACACTTTTTTTAAACTGTTTTATTTCTTAATATTATAAAACAATGTTACAAGAAACATGCTTATATTAGTTTAATTCTTTATTTGTTGGTACTATTTTCAGTAGGATAAATTTTAATAAGGGATTACTGAGACAAAAGATATATATATATTTTGTAATTTAACAAATTTAAAAATCTGTTACTTCCCCCCAAATTTATTAATTTATTTCCCAAGGGTTATAATAATGTGTACTGTCAGCATACACACAAGCACAGGATATTGTCAGCTTTTAATTTTTGCTAGCACTTAATTTTTTCTTAAAGGTGTGAAATAGTATGTTGCATTAATTTATGTTTCCTTGACTTCTAATTAAGTTGAACATAATTTACTTGTTCATTTTCATGTCTGTTGGGTAGTATTTTATCTTACCAATTTTTAGGGTTTAAAAAAGATGTTAGATGTAGTAATCATTTATCTGTTGTGTCTTGTATCTGTTTTTCTCCAGGTCTGTCATTTGTCCCTTGACTTTACGGTGTTTGGAAGTTAAAAATTTTATGTAGTCAAATCTATCAATTTAGGCAAGTAGGTGCCTTACATTGCTTGAGAAGTCTTCCCCCAACCAAGATTATGTTGTTATTCTCTATATTTTGTTAGTGTTTTATAGCTTATATTTTTACATTAACTCTTTAAAGCAGTCATATGTTTATTGTAATTTCTCTCAGTGAATGGCCACTTATGGCAAATATTATATTAATGATTCATCTTTTTTTTCCTTCTCTGTATGTTACAGTTCTTGTTTTAGTCACATATTAAGTTTTCATGTGTTCTTGGATAAATTTGGGACTCCATTATTTTTCACTAATCAGAGATTCTTTTGGTCTTAGGGACTCATATATAGGCTTCAAGGCATCTATGAATTCCCTGAAATTATATACATATCTTTTATCACACTTGCAAAGGAGTACACAGTCCCCTTAATGGTAAGAATCAGTGATTTGCAGTAGATGGTTTATATTTAATGGAGTGAGTGTGTTTTTTGTTTTTAATATTAACTTATTACAACATGCAATTTGTGAGTTAAATTTAGGATGCAAGCACATTAATATTAATGTGGGTGTTATATTGCAAACTTATTAATGTGGGTATTGCTTTGAGAAAAGTATTAAAATGTATACAAACTTAATTTTTCTAATGAGGTATAGAAAATAACATGGAGTCAAAATGAAAACTTACTTAGGTTACTGCTTAGTTACTTAGCTGTTAGAACTCTGCTTGACAGAATTTGTTGCTTTTTCTAAGTAGTTATTTCTGAATGTCAAGAGCACACTGTTGTTAATTTTAATATTTTTTGTTCATATGCTTGTAACACCACTAAATAAATGAATGCTTTAGGACCTAATGTTTTCAATGAAGACAGTAACTCAGAATGGATTATGTAGCTGTCTTCATTGGTCAAAAGTATGTTAATCTCTATGTTCTTGAAACGCTCCTTAACTAATGAACCAACTTCCAGGGCCAAGCTTGAGACTTAACCTCTTTGGAATTTGGTAGGTTTTACAAGTGCCACTGTTCTTTTTGTTTAGTAGCTAAGTTGTGTGTGACTCTTTGTAACCCCATGGGCTATAGCCTACTAGGTTCCTCTGTCCACGGGATTTTCCAGGCAGGAATACTGGAGTGGGTTGCCATTTCCTTCTCCAGGGGATCTTCCTGACCCAGGCATTGAACCCAGGTCTTCTAATTGGCAGGCAGGTTCTTTACCACTGAGCCATCAGGAAAGCCCACCTGAAACCATACATACTTGTAAAATGTTCCCAAGAATGATAGATTTCTCTACTTATAAAATTGTTTGCAAAGTTTACAGTAGTTACTGTTTAGAGGACTTAACAGTTTAATTGGAATGCAGTTATTCTAGAATTGCTAATTGGCGTCTCACTTGAGTCCCTGATAGGGTATCTAGTGCCATAGAGTAGTCAGTCAAGTGAAAGGGTTGATTTCAATTAAAGTGATAATAGGCGGTCTCTCTACCTCTCTAAGCCTTCTAAAAGCTTTTTGGACACTTAAGTTGAAATAATTATTCAAACACTGCTCTCCAGAATGACTACTTTTGAGAGATGTTTCTATAGATGGACTTTATAATCGTGGTTCACTATAGTCCAGTTATTTATAATTATCTGGCCAACTACTAGTAACTGTGTTTATGTTCTTTGCCTTTCTGCCTGTTAATTATAGATTAACTGCCTATTGGACCACTTGTGTACCTGATCCTGTTTCCTCATCGACTTAAAAGATGTGGTTCCAGAAGTTTTCCCTCATTCTCCTGTAGTCCCTTTCTGCTGGATTCTTCTCATTAGCATGTAAACATGCTATTATCCCTCCCAACCAACAACAGAATGATATTTTTCTATTGACTCCTGTTTCTCAGCCAATGTCCTTCATATTTCAGCTTCCCTTAGCAGTAAAACGTAAAAATTGTCTATTCTCACTGTTGCTAATTGCCACAATCACCAGTAACTTCCCTCAGTCCTACAGTCAGTTTTCGGTCTTCATCTTACTTGACCAGTCAGCAGAATTTGACACAGTTGATCACTTCTTCCTTTTGAGCAATTTCTTCATTTGGCTTCTGATATATCATACTCTTGGCTTTCTTCCCCCTTCAGTGGTCATTTCTCTTGTCTCTTGTGTTAGATTCTTCTTTAACACTCTCTTCAACCCCTTAACATAAGAATACCAAAGGGCTGAGTCCTTGAAACTCTTCTCTACTCTTCCTTCGTTGGTGACCTATGTGCTGATGACTTCTAAATATGTATTTCTAATTGAGACTTGTTTCCTAAACATTAGATTTGTGTAGATTCATGTAATTGAGTTGCCCACTTGAACAATTAATAGACTTAAATTCAGTGTGGCTAAAATGAATCTTCTGATGTTTCTGTATAATGCCTCAGTACCCCGTACACCCCTCCCCCGATAATTTTATCTGACTTTTATTTCTGTTGATAGTAGCTTTATCCTTCCATTTGCTAGTTAACTTGACTTTTCTTTTCTCACACTCTACATCTGATCTTTCAGAAATATCTTGTTAGCTTTACCTTCAAAATATTTCTAGAATATGACTACTACTCAGCACTTCCACTCTTATCACCCTAATTCAGGATACCATAGTCTCTTCCCTGGATCACTGCCATGTCTTAACTAGTCTGTTTGATTCCGCACTTGGCCTCCCTACAGACTATTCTTAATAAAACAGCTTGGTGAGCCTTTTGAAATGTAAAAAAATCATGTCACTCCTTTGCATAAAGCTCTTTGGAAGCTTCCTGAATTAGAGTAATGCTAGCTGTTTTTAAAACAAAGTCCACAATTTTATTGGCTAAACATAGTAAATGACTCCTTTTTCCCCATCATGTTTTAGGTGATCATTTTGGTGGATGGTTTTCCCCTTCATGAGTTATTCAAGGTCTTGGGTACTTTCTATTATTAGTTATGCCATCCCCTCTGGTGTGAAGTTCTCTGCTGTCAGTCTGGGGAAGAGGCAAGAGAAAGGTGAGACAGTGCCTTTTTCTCAACTTTTTTGACCTCTTTTACCCTCAGTCTATTGATGAGGTTTTGTTGTTGTTTTAGTTGCTGAGTCTTGTCTGGCTGTTGTGACCCCATGGACTGGCCCACCAGGCCCCTTGGTCCATGGGATTTCCCAGGCAAGAATACTGGAGTGGGTTGGCGTTTCCTTCTCCAGGGGATCTTTGCAAACAGGGATGGAACCTGTATCCTGCATTGGCAGGTGGACTCTCGCCGCAGAGCCACCAGGGAAGCCATGCATGAGGACGAGTTATAATCTCTATGCGAGGGTGGTGGGGGAGTGGGAAGTTGGTTTTTTAGCTGGCAGTCACTTTAACATTTGTGGCTGTGTGCTACGGAAGATGGGAGCATACATTTGAATCTTTTGAATCCTTTCGAATATTTTGTGACTCAATATAAACTGTCTTGATTAATGTTCTTTGTGAACATGAAAAATGTATATTCCGTTGTTACAGGGTAGAGTATGCTGTAACTATCGCGTCGAGTTGTTCCAGTCTTCTGTATCTTCTGTATCCTTGATTTTCTTTCTGCCTACTCCTTTCTTCAGTTATATAGAGAGGGATTTTGAAGTCTCTGGTGGTGATAATGGGTTTATTTCTCCTTAGAGTTCTGTTACTTTTTGCTTCATGTGTTTTGAACTACTGTGATTAGTTGCATGAATGTTAGGACTGTCATATCCTCTCAATTAACCCCTTTTTCATTATGAGATGATGCTCTTTATCCTTAGTGATATTCTTTGCTCTGAAACCTACTTGGTCTGTTATTTATTTAGTCACTTCAGTTTTAATTAGTTTTAGCATAGTGTATCCTTCCCATTCTTTTAGTATAATATTAATCTGTTTGTGTCTTTTTGTGCCCTTCATGGATCCCTCCTTGTGGTGAAGAGGCTTGTGTAACTCAGTGAGGCTATGAGCCATACCAAACAGGGCCATCCAAGATAGACGGGTCATGGTAGAGTGTTCTGACTAAATGCGATCTACTGGAGGAGGGAATAACAAACCACTCCAGTATACTTGCCATGAGAACCACATGAACTATATAAGAGGCCAAAAAGATATGACACCAAAAGATGAATCCCCCAGGTCTGAACTTGTCCAGTATGCTACTGGGGAAGAGCGAAGGAGAATTACCAATAGCCCCAGAATGAATGAAGCAGCTGGGCCAAAGCAGATGCGACACTCAGTTGTGGATGTGTCTGCTGATGAAAGTAAAATCCTATGCTGCAAAGAACAGTATTGTATAGGAACCTGGAACGTTAGGTCCATGACTCAAGGAAAATTGGATGTGGTCAAACAGGAGATGATAAGAATAAACATCAGCATCCTAGGAATTAGCAAACTAAAATGGGCAGGAATGGTCGAATTTAATTCAGATGACCATTATATCTACTACTGTGGGCAAGAATCCCATAGATGAAATGTAGTAGCTCTGATAATCATCAAGAGTCCAAAATACAGTACTTGGTTCAACCTCAAAAATAACAGAATGATCTTGGTTCATTTCCAAGGTAAGCCATTCAACATCACAGTAATCCAAGTCTATGCCCATACCACTGATGCCAGAGAAGCTGAAGTTGATCAATTCTGTGAAGACCTAGAAGACCTCCTAGAACTAACACCTAAAAAAGATGTTCTGTTCATCATTGGGGACTGGAATGCACAAGTACGAAGTCAAGATATACTTGGAATAACAGGCAAGTTTGCCCTAGGAGAACAAAATGAAGCCAGGCAGAGGTTAACTGAATTCTGCCAAGAGAATGCACTAGTCATAGCAAATACCTTTTCAACAACACAAGAGACGACTTTACACATGGACATCACCAAATGGTCAATACCAAAATCAAATTGACTATGTTCTTTGTAGCCTAAGATGGAGAGTTGTATACAGTCAGCAAAAACAAAACCTGGAGCTGACTGTAGCTCAGTTCATCAGCTTGTCATGGCAAAATTCAAAGTTAAACTAAAGAAAACCAGGAAAAACACTAGGCCAGCCAGGTATGACTTATATCAAATTCCAGATGAATTTGTAGTAGCAGTAATGAATAGATTCAAGGGACTAGATCTGATTAACAGTGTGCCTGAAGAACTATGGACAGAGGTCCATAATACTGTGTGAAAGTGAAAGTGAAGTCGCTCAGTCATGTCTGACTCTTTGCAACCCCATGGACTGTAGCCTACCAGTCTCCTCTGTCTATGGGGTTCTCCAGGCAAGAATACTAGAGTGGATTGCCATTTCCTTCTCCAGGGGATCTTCCTGACCCAGGGATCAAACCCAAGTCTCCCACATTGCAGGCAGATGCTTTACCCTCTGAGCCACCAGGGAAGCCCTATAGGAGGTGGCTAACAAAACCACCCCAAAGAAAAAGAAGAGCACGAAGACAAAGTGGTTATCTGAGGAGGCTTTACAAGTA